TTGCTATGGTCAATGGTTACAATGGCAACCAACATACACTTTTCATGACCTAAAAAACCCTAAATTTTGATGAAAATTGACCATTTTTGACTAATTAAAAGTCTTTAATAGAACAAGATATTTACATGACATTATCTTTTTGCCAAAATACATCATTTTTATAGTTCTTAAGATAATTTCTAGTATTTGAGTAACTTAATTTACTTAATAGAAATGAAAGAAAAAGTGAGCAAGCTCACATACCCCACGCTCCCCCAAAACTCGACAATGCAACACATAATGAATGGCACAGTGCATTTTAAAAACACAGTATAATTCAAAAAGGGGCATTACTTGCAAAAAATCATCACATCAATACTTCTTGCATATATAAGGACATTCAAATCTTTGTATGTTACAAATTTAATTGGGCTGAAGTTTCTTGATAAATAATGGAATCCAAATTTCTTGGTAATATACAAATCTATACACTATGTCTGAAATACTTACAAAGTTTCAGGAAATTCAGTGCAGGAGTTATGCTGACAAACTGTTATTTAAATTCCTCAGTGATTTCGATTTGTTAATGAGTGCAAGTCTGTGTCCAACACATGACAATTTACTCATTTAAATAATTGATGGAAACAAAATTATGATGTAGTCATATGAATTTATTTATATACTGTACTTATGAAATTATTTAAGGCAAAGCACCAATTTGAAGGGAGAGAAGGGGGGGGGGGGGGGGGGGGGGGAGAGAGAACTATCCAAGATTTTGTGTGTGTGTGTGTGTGTGTGTGTGTTAAATCATTAATATTTTGATCTCAAAATCAATAGGGGTCTTTTAAGGTCATAAAATATTTCACATAAAATTTCATTACAAAAGCTGATTCCAGTGGATTTCCTTATTACCTAGCTGGAAAGTTTCTTCAATAATAGGCAAAACTCTTAAGGCAAAAATAATGGAATCGGAATTTCCTGGTAATATGCACATCTACACTCTGTGTACTAAATATCTGCAAAGTTGACCAAATTCTGTGCAGGGGTTTAAGAGGAGTTGCGCTGACACACTGTTCATCTCTACATTCAAGATATGGCCCAAAATCTAAGTTGAAAAGTGCCAAAATTCCTAGAAAAATAATGGAATCGAAATTTCCAGGTAATATGCAAATCTACACACTGTGTAGTAAATATCTGCAAAGTTTGACCAAATTCTGTGCAGGGGTTTAAGAGGAGTTGCGCTGACACACTGTTCATCTCTACATTCAAGATATGGCCCAAAATCTAAGTTGAAAAGTGCCAAAATTCCCAGAAAAATAATGGAATCGAAATTTCCAGGTAATATGCAAATCTACACACTGTGTAGTAAATATCTGCAAAGTTTGACCAAATTCTGTGCAGCGGTTTAAGAGGAGTTGCACTGACAAACTGTTCATCTCTATATTCAAGATATGGCCCAAAATCTAAGTTGAAAAGTGCTGAAATTCCCAGAAAAAATAAAGGAATCGGAATTTCCTGGTAATATGCACATCTACACATAGTGTCCTTTTTAAGTATGATTTTTCTGGGGAAAAATTGTAGATTTTAGGCTCTTTTGAAGAGCCTAGTACAAAATTTTGCGGACATATTGGAAAAAATAAATACATTCGTTTGAAAGTCCATATATAGTTCTAATATAAACTGCAAAGAAACACTTGGTATTCATATTTTGTTTTCATGTTACCATGGCTACAAACTTATGCTTTTTTTAAAGAATTTCAGACAAGGGCAATAGGTATCTACTATCAATTTCAATATAAATACCTGAGTATTTTAAAATGGATTAAAACCAAATTTGTATATGTGGTTCACAATAGAAAAAACAAAGAAAAAATCAATTTTCATCACAAAAGGTCAAAGGTCAATGTCAAAATGGCTCGATTTAAATGGAAATTTAAGGAAACTAAGTACATTTTTTCAATGCCATAACCAATACTTGTGTTTTAAACAACATATGAATAAACAAAATTACAGTTCTGGTGGACAATACAGGTAACTAACATCACATGAATTGGTAAATACGGACAGAAGGTCAAAGTGCAAGGTCACAATGGTATATAAAATTTGCCTTTTTGTCCCTGGCTTTCACTTAGAGTGGGGGATATTAATTTAGGTCTGTGTGACATCCATCCATCCGTCAGTCTCTCTTTCTGTAACATTTTTGTTTTGGCGCGATGTCTCGTGAAGCCTTTGAGCCTTTGCAATGAAATTTTACAAAACAACTCCCTGTGGCCTAAGGAAGACCCCCATTGATTTTAAGGTCAAAGGTCAAGGTCATGAATTCATAAATTCTGTCTGTTATAACACTTTATTTCCGTGCAATATCTCAAGAAGCCTTCGAGCTTTTGCAATGAAATTGTATACTGAAACTCCCTATAGCCTAAAGAAGACCCCCATTGATTTTGAGATCAAAAGGTCAAAGGTCAAGCTCAAACATTTATACATTCTGTTCGAGTGTAAAATTTTCATTTCTGAGCAATGTCTCAAGAAGCTTTTAAGCTTTTGCAATGAAATGTTAAATCGTAACTCCCTACGGTCCCGCCCGCCCCTCTTAAAGTGCCCCGTCCCCCAACCCCGTCATCCTTTGACCCCACCCCTCTAGATCCATACATGCTCTTTCTTCCTTAAGCAGGGGACACATATTCTCTGAAATTCACTGTTTAAAAAGGAGGTCTCAGCATATAATTGCCTATCCATTTCTTTGGGGACAGAGGCATCTGGATAAACGAGGCGCCGATGTACTATCACAAAGGAAATGCTCACCTCAGAAACATATCTATTGAAAGCTCCAAACCTTGAAAATATACAAGTGGTTTGACAGTCACTGGACTGACTTAATTTACTTTTAAAATAACCTTGGGACAATTTCAACTTGTTCAAACTAAAAAAGCAATGCATGAAATAAAGAAATATCCAATTATATCCCATGTAATATGTGAGAATCAATCTAGATTTTATTGCTAAGGTTGTCTTCTGAAAAGATCCATAGCTCAGTAGAGAGGCTAAACTTGATCATTGATCAAATATAAAACAAGATACAACTGTATTGGATACACTGGGCATTTACAGGCAATTAATGACAAAAACCTACATGAAAATTCAATTGCCTTGGCAACCATGATCATCAGACTCTGATTATAAGGATATAATCACCCATTACTCATGTAAGGAAGGGCAAATCCTAAGAGTTCTTCTGTATCTAACAATGCCTGCTTCACATCAAATCACCATTTTACGACCCAAGTTAATGGCTAACCATACTAATTACAAACAGAGACCTAAATTCTTCAGCACTTAATTTTCCTCTATTTACACCTTCAAATCCTCTACTTAAGAAAAACAGAGGCTTGGGAGAGTCAAATAAGATATCATACATCCACAATGGCATTACTAGGATTAAATTGACAGAAAATCATCCAAAGGTTCATTTATTCCAATGGGTTGACCTTTCAGAGGTTAATGTGAAAATAAATCATCCTAGTCATCACTTTTTTTTCAACAGTGTACTAAAGGTGTACTACAAGATACAGATGTTCATCACCCAGATGATACCAGTACAAGTAATCTGTCTGGGAGGTGGTGAAGAGGGTTCCGGCTACCACTCTGCATTTAAAGAGCTAAATAACACAATCAGGTGCCTTGGATAAACAAAATATCATTGAAAATTGAACTTATCAATCATTGATCTTGAACATTATCTAGTTGCAGCCACCTTTGTCATGCAGCATTAGTCATGATTCCTTAATAATGAATGAAAACATGTGAAGCTATTCTGTTATTCAGACATAATGAGTCATTGAAACAACTTATGGTGAATCTGACTGATGTCATAACACCAAGATGTAACTAAAAACTTGCATCCCATTTAATCACAGCTGAGACAAGTTATTTGCTTCTCCTTGCCAAATGACATATGTGGGCTTGAAATGCTGCAGTCTGTAATCCAAAACCACTCATCTACTCCCAAATGCTTGTACATGGATTAATTATTCAACAGCACTACAAGTTCTACCTCTTATACTTTCCATAATAATATATAAATGATATTTCATTTAAAATTTTTATTTCTCTCATTTTTATATGTCTTTTTTTTTTAACAAAACACTAGAGCATAATGATATATTAATAAACTAACTTAAGCAATTATTTCTCAAAAAATATCAGGTCAGCATAAACATGCATGTTTCATGGACCATAGTGAGGAAATTAACAAGGGTCTATCATGTCATATTTTAATAGCTCTACCACTGAGTAAAAGCAATTACTGGCAAATGATAATAATAAACCTCTCTCTAAATGTCTGTGGATAAATAATGCATGGTAAACAACAGCCAATTTTATGTGTATATTGGCCTGTTGGGTGTATTCTCCTGCTAAGGTGAACTGATAAGGCATCAGGTGATGACAAGATAAAAATGAAATTTTTGCACAGATCTGCAAGGTAATCACACCTGTTAAGTACTAGTTCCCAGTGATAGACAACACACAATTTATCAAGACCCCTCCATTTTTCACCAGCTCTGAACACATACAATAAGAATATACATCACGGTTGATATTTATATCCACCTTCAGACTATTATTTGAGGCAGTGCTGAACAGATCTGCAAACAACTCCTAATGAATTACATTAACCATGCCTGAACTGCTCCACTCATAAACTGTTTTTAACTTGATTTAATGTTTCTCCAGAGATCTACCATGTAATATTATATGCAGCTGTGAGTGTACTTTTCCCTAGTAAGCAGCTGTCAAGCATGAAATCATTTCATACCAAAATTCTACCCCCCTGATTATCTACAGTTTGGAAGAAATATTATGATCAACATGATCAAGCAGCAAAGGAAATTTACAATTTGTTGGCTGAACAAATGTTTCACAAACAAGTCAACCTAATATATTGCTTATTGAAATAATTATTTTCCTGTAGATTCCCTTCAACCCTCCCCTACCCTTTTCTTACTCAATACATTTCTACTTACTATTTCTGATCTTTTTATACTTTTCTTCATGGCCCTCTCTCTTTGGTAACTGACAAAAGAGAAAAACAAAACAAAATTTTAAAAAATCAAGATACAGAAATTTACAGAAAACGGTCAAACCTCGTCATCTCAAACTCGATGGGACCCAGAAAAAACTTTGAGATATCCAAGGGTTCAAGATAACGAGGGTAAAATACTTAAGAAATATGTGGATAGAACTTCTCAATCACTTCAACATATTCATAGTATTCAAGATATCCCTGTTTGAGGTACCGAAGTTCAACTGTAATGCCAAGATACAACAGCACAACTCAGTCTATGCTATGCTAAAATCCTGAACTTACAGGTGGCAATTCATCAAATTATATAATAGGTACAAGTTTTAAACCCAAATATTACCACTATCCATTTATTCTACAAAGTCAGCTTTGAAAAAAAAAAAAAAAAAAAAAAAAAAAAAAAAAAAAACATTTGAATCTGAATCCTAATATATATACATGACATTAACTACTAACTCCACTTCTTACAGAACTTGCAAGCAGCCATACAGATCTGCATACTATTACTTATTAATTAAAGCATCAGTATTTGTTAATGTATTACTATAATGCTCTTTAGTTTTACTATTGGAGGCTTTTACTAATATCAGTTTTTTTTTTTTAATTATTTTTTTCATCATTTTTTGTATGCTTTTCATTTTTTCCCCCTGAAATATTCTCATGCCATATTATCTAGATTCATCTAGTATCATTTTCACTTTTAGAAAACAATTTTTAAAATTATTTAAAAAAAAAAAGAAAAAGAAGTTCAACATTACAATTGAAAAAAGAGGCCCAAGGGCCACATTGCTCACCTGATCACTTTGGCTAGGAAAAAGCAGAAATCAGTTCAGTCTTGAAAAGTTTTAATATAAAAGAGGGGGGGGGGTATGATTTGAACTTACTTGAATCTACACTTACTAAGGATGCTTTTGAATAAATATGACACAAAATGGCCGTTGCTGATTTTTCCTATGTATTCCTATGTAAAACTCTGATCCCTCAATCGTGGCCCTACCCTACCCCCAGGGGTCATGATTTGAACAAACTGGAATCTACACTACCTGAGGATGCTTGCATATAAATATGACCAATCACAGCTTTGCTGTTCTTGAGAAGATTTTTCCTATGTAAAACATTGATTGCATATAAATATGACCAATCACAGCTTTGCTGTTCTTGAGAAGATTTTTCCTATGTAAAACATTCATCACCCATTGTGGCCCCACCCTACCCCCAGGGGTCATGATTGGATAAAACTTGAATCTACACTACATGTACCTGTGGATGCTTGCATATAGATATGACCAATCATGGCTTTGCTGTTCTTGAGAAGAAGGTTTTTAAAGATTTTTTCCTATGTGTTCCTATATAAAACTTTGATCGCCCATTGTGGCCCCACCCTACCCCCGGGAGTCATGATTTGAACAAACTTGAATCTACACTACCTGAGGATGCTTGCATATAAATATGACCAATCATGGCTTTGCTGTTCTTGAGAAGAAGATATCAAAGATTTTTCCTATGTATTCCTATGTAAAACATTGATCACCCATTGTGGCCCAACCCTACCCACGGGGGTCATGAAGTGAACAAACTTGAATCACCACTACTTCACAATGATTCCACATAAGTTTCATATTTTCAAGCACAGTGGTTCTTGAGAAGATTTAATGATGCCATTAATTTTTCACGAATTCATATTTATTTTCCCTTGGAAGAAGGCAAGGCCCTTCATTTGAACAAAATTGAATCCCCTTCACCCAAGGATACTCTGTTCCAAGTTTAGTTGAAATTGGCCCAGTAGTTCTGGAGAAGATGAAATTGTGAAAAGTTTACGACAACGACGATGACAACAACGACGAAGATGACAGACAATGGACAAATTTTTGATCAGAAAAGCTCACTTCAGCCTTTGGCTCAAGTGAGCTAAAAAGAGTATTTCAAAAAAAGAAAAAAGGAAAAGGCTTGTGGGCCTTCAGGGTCAACTGAGTATGTTTCTTTAAGTCTCATCTGAAACATGGACATGGTGCCCACTAATTTTACAAATTAGGTAAAGGATAAAGTCTGCTGGATTCTCATGGGTAAAGGAGGAGATTTTCATAATACGTTTTCAATATATGACCAACAACCATGGGACTTTAACGATGGACCCTTGGGACATGAATTTTGTAATTCTGATGAGGCAAATTCTCATTGTTATTGTATTATATAATATTATATGTATGTGTCCTTTCGAAAAGAAGATTTTTGCAGATGTAGAGATATGTATTTTCAATATATGACCAACTTAGCCCCATCCTGGGGCCTGAACCCTGAACCAAGGGATCATGAATTTCATAATTTTGGTAAAAGGCTCCATATCTTATTACAAGAATTATCATGCCAACAGTTTGCCTGTTAGATATCCCAGAGTAAAGTACTTAGATTTTGATGTTTTTGGCTTTAACCTCAGGTCCCAGGAAGGCAGAGAGCAAAAAATTCATAATTTTTGTTCACCTTTACTTGTAGATGCTATAAACCAACATTGGTTAAAATCCTCAAAGAAGCTGAAAATGTTCAAAAAGTCACTACATACAGATAATGCATGGTGATGGACAAAAACAGATAGCAATAGGGCATCTGAATGCCTCAGGTGACTTAAAAACCCAAAATACTGTTGTTTTTTTTTTAATTTATATAACCCTACACTTAATTTCACTGAATAAATTTAAATTTTACTAAAAAATGTAAGATCTATTTTAGAGCACATGCATGATAACTGAATTAGCTTTTTCAGAAAGCACGAAGCTTATCAGTCACGCTCAAGAACTACTCCATGAAAGATGAGCATAAGTGCACTAAAAAGTACAGAAGTGTTACATAAAATCTCTTAGCAATTTATTATTATAATATTTTCTTTCTGAAATAAGACAACTTGCTAAACTGTGCAGGGATTGGCTGGTAAAGCATACAAAGCAACAATCTGGCCTTCATTTGGTGAGGTGTATTTTTTTTGTTACCAGATCATTGTTCAGTTGCCACCAGATATCGTACGACAGCAGAAAGTCACACTGACGTTCTCTGAGGTGTTTGCCCACATGGATGGGTGGTGGCATTAGACTACCATGTTTTTTATACACCACCTTTTCACGACTTTTGCCCATGCTGCCACTGGAGTGAGTCTTCTTTGTGCTAAAACAAAAAGAAAACAGATAACTTCACTCAAATTCTTGAAGTGCAATTTTGAGATTTGTTTACTTTCAAAGGGTCTTACTTTTTTTTAAAGGAACTAGGATCTTGTTTTTCCACAAATCTGACCTTGAGACCAACCCCGATTACCAGAATTTTCCCCCCAAACTTTTGTTCTGATATTTTTAATAAAACTTGGTGACAAGCTGTCATTATAAACACTTCAAAAAGATAACTGATGAAACAGAAACTCTTTTGTGTATTCATCCAGACTAATTAAAATGAATCTTTTTTTAAAATCAAATAGTTGACCCTGTGGGTGGAGTTTAGTCAAGATTTCTAATGAATTTCTGCAGTGTGTGTAACCTATTTCTTTAAACTGTATGTCATGTTTTCACCTTCATTATACATCAACATTTTGTCACAACTTCATAAATTAATCATACCTGCCCCTTACAAAAGGCAAAAGGATTTTTTTCCCCCAATACCATTTCATAAATAGAACACAAACTATGACACATCATACAAAGAATTTTTTGTCCTACTCATTAAGATTCCAAAATTAACATCAGTCAAAACTTTTTAATAATCTATTCTTTTTTTCGTATCACTATCAGACAACAGGAATTGCTTCAACAAGGAAAAATACATTCTTTAAGCTGTTATTTAATTATGGCATAAATATAGCTTTGAAGGTCGCTCAACTCTCCTTCAATAAGTGCAGTGCTATGATCGTGACAGGATAACTCCACTGATTATAACCACAGGTTTTCCTCTCCTTCCTTACTGCCAAGATAATACAGCTACATGGATTCACTGACATAAAAAAACTATGATCACTTGTGACCATCAGGAGCTGACAGAAGTCAAATCAATGTTAAACACTGCTTTTATTATGAAGAACAACATCATCAGCTTAAAGTGCATCAGAATGCAGTCATTTGTTTAATTGATAGGGATCAGCACTTCTAGTTCTAATAGCAATTAATCAAAGGCATTATCAGTTAATATTCACCTCTAATATCAACAGACCTTTTCTGCCATTAATTGCTATTTACAGAGCAGTGCAGGATGAAAATTTCCTTGTGTTAAAAATCAATATCAGCCCATCATCCAGTTTAGCAAAAATCTATGTCCTATTTCCTTTTTTCTCAATTATGTTAGTCAAATATTGATTGGGAATAGATTCAATATTCAGACGGCCTGGTAAATAATGTTGCGATTGCATTACTGTGTTGTTCCTGTCCTGCTGTGATCCAACAACCAAGCAGATCAATATATTGTTAAGAGAATTAAATGAAATTTTTATACAACTCCCCCAAAAACATTATTCATCACCAGATGAGTGTTAAAAGACTTGATTTGAAACTGATCATGACTTTAGGATCTTCACTTATGCAATACAAATGAAGACAAATTTGTTCACAGTTTAATATGGACTGGTATTCCTGTTATTTCAGAAGAAAACCCATCAAAAAATCAATATGGCTATTGAAAAGAAATTAAATGCTATTGTAAGCCTTTACTTAATCCAATGGAGAGTAAAATTAACACCTTCAGCAAAAAAAAAAAAGGTATATATGTATTAAGCTTTATTGATAGAAACATCATCAAAATACTCAAGTTTCTGACACAATCATCAACTGTAGGAAATATTTGTTGATCATATATATACTAGCAACAGGGTCATTATAAGTGCACTACCAAGGTACAGACAAGCCAGAGAATTGGATCAATTAATATCTCTTTCATAAATAGTGCTTATTTCACAGGATCGGGATCATTACACTCAGGGTTAGAAACTCCCTAAAATTACAACTCGCAAATAATTGCAAGTACCAAGAAAGTGAACTCGCAATTTTACAAGACTACTCGCAATTTTCATATAAAGTTAAATTTATATAAATTAAATACATGTAACTTAAGGAAAAAGTAACTACTGTACAATACACAAAATACAACTACAGTGTGACTTTTATTTAAATTACTGATTTAAATCAAAGGCATTGTGTTCTGTCATATTAGATAATTTTGCTACAGTTTCAATGCAAAAAAAATCAACTCGCAAGTTTTTGTGAGTTACCTAATTTTTAACTCGCAATTGGGGAATTTTAACTCGCGTTTTGTGAGTTGTATATAGTGAATTTCGAACCCTGACACTGTATAACTTTTATGTTCTTTAAGCATTTGTCAGTTGGAAGCAGAGTACAGTTACAGGAAAAAAATGTTTAATATGAAGAAAAAGTCTTCATAATAAAATTAAATAAATGATTATAAATCATCTGCCCGATATTGGTTTTCTTTCAAAACCTATTAGCTTGCATGTCTAAATTGAAAATGATGTGCCATAAAAAAGACCATGTGGAGAAAGGAAGCTGGCATTATGTTTAAATCGATAAAAAACTTGACATTACACACTGTGAAATACAGGTAATCCAGCGATCTCTTTGTCATAGATGGACGCTTCTGATGTTTATAGGCCTTTTTATTGTCACTCTTGGGAACTCAACAAAACTGATAAATTATTCTCGTTACCACAGGTTTTGAACAGTCAGTTTTTAAGCCATAAAAAATCAAAAAAGGGTTAAGAAAAAATATTTCAATTCTTTGTTAGAAAAATGTTGAACAAATGGTATGCATGAAGGAGTGTCACTTAGCAGGTGTTATACATGGAGCAGATGTCAACTGGACCATTGGTCATATCTGAGGCCTGATCAAGAAGTCACTCCAAAATGGGGACAAAGCTTCTTTATAAAATGCCATCTATTTGGTTGGGCCTTATCTTAATCTATCATTAGGCTTTCAAAGGTTTTGAACTGACTTTAGTTCAAAAAAAGATCCCAAAAATGTCTGCCTACATCTTAAAAGTATTGTATGTAAATATGAAATGACTTAATAAGTTCAAAGTATCCCTGTTTATTGGAATTATAGTGAATTTGAATTCTAATATGAATAAACATGAAATTATATAATTCAGAAAGCTTTAATGAACTTGTAAAAATTTTCGATACATTGTTGCAGCAGTATAATTACAACTTTTGAAGCCTGTGCTATTTTTATACATCCTTCAATTTTTTTAACAACTAAATTTTTAGGCAAACAATTATTTGAAGTGGATTAAGAGGATATATAACATGCAATTGGTTAAGTGGACATAACTTGATGACCTTGTTGAATCAAGTATTATGTACACATGTAGGACATCCCATTTTCTGCTAGGCAACCAGGATATGCTGAGGAATGTATTTACACAGAGATATTTACACCTGACAAGGAAACATTTTTCCTCCTTGAATGTCACCCCATGTAGCTATTTACACATTATAACACTTCCTCATTAGAAGCAATTTACAGACAGGGAAAAAGAGATTTATTTCAATAGATTTAAACACACTTCCTCGTGTCTGTTGTTGTATTAATGCTGTATTTATTATACTATTACACACAGACTGAAGTTTATGACTACAAGTGAAAGTGGAGTGTGTACACACTAAGTTACAAGGGGATTCCACTAATTAAACAGTTACTACATCATAGGCTTCACAGAAACTTCAGCACCCTGGGTCAAAGTAAACACTTGGTATCAATGTCAAACTGCCCCACTAGCAGATGGAGGGACGAGCAATGTGAAACTAACAAGCTTGAAACATCATCAGCCTTGTCTCAGTATCCAGACCCCATTATATGGTTCACTAACATCAGCATGCTGTCTTAACAAAACCTTGTTAAATTCCCACTGCTAGAAGTTTAATGGCCCAAACCATCAGACAAGTCAACACATCAACATTTTAAATCTCCCATCTTTTTAATTTGACACTCAGTAGCTTGTGTAATCATATCATCCAATGTTAAAACCACCTACCACAAAAGAACCGCTTTATATGAACAATGTTTTTTGATTAGGTGGGAATGCACTGGAGTTCATCAGGCATTCAGCTGATGAAGTAAGTGAGAAATTTATAGCCTCCTGTCTCCTTTTTGTTGTGCAGTTTGATAGCTATCAAATTTCCCCCCAGATTACCCAAGAGAACACAATTTCACACACAAAGAGACTTTATTTCTCTCTCTGTGAAGCCCCCTTATCTCTAATCAGAATACAAGGCCAAAAAAAGGTCTTGATTCACTGAATACCCTAGAACAGGTAAAAACCACTTAATGACCCAGTAAAAAGTAGCGCCAAAATCACAGGGTACAATACATCCCATCACAAAGAAATTCTAACCAACCATGACACATAATGGCTCCAATCAATTCCTAACAAGTTCAAATCACCCACCAAATCTACACATCTAAATCTTCAGTAGAGGTTCATACTTCACTCAAGTTCCCTATTCACATTTTGTGAACTTCATAAAGGCAGAAAGTACAACAGCTCAAAAGGATATATGAAAGTCAAAGTTTTTTTGATAATTTAAAGTATGGTCTAAACTCTGAATTAAACTATATATAAAGCCTATCACTGGGTTAAACTTTAACTCACACATTTTCATACTATATTTTGTTCACTGCTTTCCACTAATTTTGACTACAGATTACGCCATTTACCTTATCAATACAAAAGGCTCACAGTGTGACCCCTCCACAAGGGATGTTAACTCCTTCTAAACCTCTGGTGTTTCATGGGTCTATGTTTAAGCCCAGTTCTCAGTTTTGAATTGTTTAACATATATACTTTTTATTAGGGATGGGTATCGGCAAAAATTTTGTATCGTGATATATCACGATTTTTCCCAAGAAATATCACGATAAATTGTGATATTTTTACACACAAGTTTTACTAAAATTTAAAATGAATTTCCATAATATTTCTTAAAAATATGCTTTAAAAACATAACTTTACTTTTTAAATTTTTATTTATTTAATATAAAGCATGTTTAGATGCCGTTGTTTAACTGCTTTCAACATTTGTTACACTTCCTGTATTGTCATTCAATAGTTTGAACAAATAAATGGATAATTTCCGGAATTTATAGTTATGTACCAAATACCGGTATTTTAGTCTCCATATCATGATACATATCACACAATAAAAAATTGTGATATACCGGTATACCGATAAAATCGCGCATCCCTACTTTTTATAAGATTGATCAATGTTCCTCTCTTCCACAGGGTCACAATTCCACGGAATCAAAATTTCTATTCAATCCGCAAGTATAAAATTACGTGGATATCTTGGATTGTCACTATATGTCCTTAATGAATCTTTAGTATGCTGTGACAAATTTCCGCGGAAAAATTATGACCATGTACATATTGGATATTAATCAAACGTGGAAAAAAGTACATCTACAGTATGATTCTTTGTTTGTAAAATTTGGATATATAATAGCAATATGAATTGCATATCAGGTTTCCTTTTTGGTACTTTTTGGTTGTTTTCATCAATTGATTTCTGCATAATTAACATTGAATTAATCAGCATCATACTACTCATTTCAGAAAAGCATCAATAACTACTATGAATTTAACAAACACCATGCTCATATAAAAACAAACCAACAAAAACAAACAAAATACTTAAGACTGATGCAATATATCATCTAATTTACCAGTCAAAAGTTGATTTACATATGAGGTGAAGGAATGAATATTTTATTCTCAAAGCATTTCTTTTCGACTTATATTGAATCAATTGATATACGACCCCCACCCCCTTGTCAAGCAGATGCATTCAATCAAAAAGACCATTTTATTGACAGGATATTCTTTAATGCCTTCTCATTCCAATTTTCACCACTGGGAAATGTTAAATGACTCAAAGATGAGGAAAATATTGCAAATATAAATAATTCCTGCTTTCAAATTCAATTACTCTTTGGCTACCAGCTATTCAGTCTTGAAATATAATACATGGCATTTAAATCTGCTAAGATGACTATCAAGTATTCTGTGGAGGTTAAAATCCACATTTGAATGATCATTTTGGCTTCTTCAGGGAAATAGATATGGGTGTTTGTTAAGTCAATTCACACTGGGTGAGGGTGTTAAATTTTATTTGTGAGATTTTTACTAGATGACATTGTACCACAATTTAATCTAAAACATTCCTTAAATGATGGTGTAAATGTTGGCCACTCCAAGTCTTCATTAACATTACAAGTTGAATTTATTCATTAATCTAAAGACTCCCATACTATCCTCAGAAACTTCATCATCAAAATCTATTCACTGTTGCCAATAAATTCTGTTTGAATAAACCAGATCAATTCATGCAAATTTCTCTTCTATTCCACAAATCTTACTTCCTCCAACAAAACATTACAAAGGATAGATCCTGCTTCTCCAGTTCACACCAAAATCTTTCTTTGTCTATCCAGATCATTTGTGTAAATAAAGCAATTTTAAACTTTTCCTAGAAGTCTGTCAGAGAGTTATCAGACATTACAATTTATCTTATTTTAGACTGCACTCTGTGAAGTCTTCAAGAAATTGGACCTATGCCAGCTTTGGGATCTGATTTTCAAATATAAAGATTTTCAAGGAAAGTGGTCGATTAAACGATTATCTTCCTATAATCAACTGCAATGTAGATTCCTTACCTTGCTTCCTTTACCTGTTTACAACTGAATAGTCTCAAATAGGTTTATCAATAAATTTGATAATAAAGCATTGAAGCAACCTACATTGGGGAAAAATATTAACTACAGAGGTTTAATTCTTCTTCACACTGCAAGAGGAGTTGTCACTTTTCAATCTTTTATAGAGAATTGCTAGGTAAAAATTGAAGAAAATGAAGATTCCTTAATGAACATTAAGTCCTGATAAGAATTTAAGTCTAAACAGAGGTTCGAAGGGGGCTGAGCAGAATTATGTAACTTTGCAGCACCAAGAACTGAGAACAATTTTGTACTTGACACACCCTCTGAGATACAATACTTACTCTGGGTCTTCCTTGTAAGTGTCAGAGAAGAGACCAGCTTTCTGATATTTTTTCTTTGGAAATCCTGTCCCATCTCTCTTGTTGCTGATGTCAGAGTCAGATGCCTCTGTGGACGTACTGGGAAGCCTGCATTAAAAAAAAACAACAAAAGATCAATTATTTTCATAATACCTGTATTCCACTTTATCCATTACATATTTTTGATAAAAGTAAACAATGGTACAGCAGAATAGAACACTTATACATAAAAAATCTTCACTTTTTCAGAAATCTTCCACCAGCAATTGCTGAAATATAAACTGACACTTCTTGAAAGAATTTCTACTTACTTAGTCTTCAAGTAATTTCGTTTTTTAACACGTTTGGATGGTACATATTCCTCCTCATCACTATCCAAGTAGGAAATGGAGCAGTGTTTTTGTTCCTTTGATGGCAGAGGTTCGTATTCTGAGCACACATTTCGTATCACAGACTCAATGGTATTAATTACACTGTCTCTATCAGCAGTCACATTATTGCACACAAGGTCCCCTTCCACTTGTGGATGAAGTTTGCTGGGAGAGAGTCGTGAGTGAGATTTCTTTCTGTGGATGATTTTCTCCACTTTTGGATCGTTTTCCAATGGTCTTAATCGGGGACGCCCCACTTTCCGTTTCTTTTTTCTACCTCTGAGAAGTTTTTCTTTGATTTTGGTTGCAAAGGACTTAGAAAACTGCCCTAAAGTCCCCTTACCTAAGTCTTTTGAACTGCCAGGCTTACGACCTCTTTTATGATGAACCGATTTTGAACCACATTGCAACTGTATGCAATCCACACAAGACAATTCTGAATCAGTTTGAACACTTATTGAATTAACCTGAAACCCATTCAAATTTGAATCTGTTGACACAACTGAGTTATTCTTATAAGATTTGTCTGTAGCCAATGGAATTCTAGGAGATTCACATGAATTAATTAATCCCTGAGCGTCTATACTACTTTCTCTTACATCTTTGGTAACAACATTTAAGGAGGAATTTCTGAGACATGAAGGTGATACTGGCATGTTCCTTTGCATTGCTGTAAAAAACAAATTTAAATGCTGTAAGAAATGAGAGATCTTCTCCCCAAGTGTAAAATTTTATACAATTTTTTCCTCAATATTTACTAAATATTAAACATTTAACATAAAACAATTTATCATCAATTTTCTTTGAGTATAGTTTAAGATTCATTTTAGAGTAAATTTGGTCAGTGCCTATATATGTTACTAGTTCTACCTTCATTGCCTCTACTTTCCAAGTTTAATTTTAATACTGGATTCTTTCTGGGTCGCCCTGGTTTCCGTTTTCCTGGCTGCTGAATTGACTCCTTTCCCACATCAGACACAGTTCTTGTTGTTGGAGGAATATCCGACAAAAACTTATGTCTCTTCTTTGGGGGAACATTTGAAACATACTGCTGCAAATCTAAGTTGTCATCAGAATAATCCCAAGGGGCTGAAAACTTCTTTTCTTTCAGACTGAACATTTTCCTATGAAATGACTTCATCTTGGACTTTTTCTCCATTATCTGAAAAGCAAAATCCCTGCGTGAAGTTTTTAACCGTTTCACTTTCTCAGTTTCAAAGGGGTGTCTTGGATCTTTTTTCTTTGGTTTCACATTGATCTTGGTAAGCTTGAAAATACTTGGTAATGGAACTTCTCCTGGCTTTACTCTTATGAAGGTTTCCTCTGGTCGAGAAATGGCCAAGAGATGAAAGTTATCAATCACATACTCCATGTCCGTCAAAAATCGAGGATCAACAATGTTTCTATGTTTGGATCGGAAATTAATCAACTTCTCTTTTTTCTTCTTTTGTTTCTGTTGCTGTTTCATCCTATGCAAAAAATTCCTATTCCCTATGTCCTCCTCTGGATCCGAGTCAAGAATACTGGGTGTCAGAATATTAGGTTTACTTGCAAAACCAAATGACTTAGCACTCGATAACCTAAACTTGGATGACAATGTACCATATTTGCTTGTAAAATTAGACCCCAAGGATTCCGAGGGAGTGACAGTGTACTTTTTTTTCCGGCCTCTTTTGCTTTTCAAGTTGCCATGTTTTCGCATCATAACATGCAATTTTGGTTTGCGGATCTTTGGACCCTGTTTTAATTTTGATCCACTACCATGCTCTTGATTAACAGAAGGCACAGGATCAAAAGAAGGTTCAATGGAATTAAGTTCATCTTCAATGGAACTCTCTGGCATTTCATCCAGAGTTGATATGCCTGGGTTCTGAAACTGTGAAGAAATAGAGTTCTGCACACTTTCAATAATGGATACAAGTTCTCTATCCTCTGTCTCTTTATCTTCATGTGACAAATTTAGGACATTCACCTGTCTATCAGAATCTTCAGACTCCAAAGGTTTCAATGGCCGTTTTCTTGGTCTTCCCACTTTTCTCTTTTCTGGAGGTTTTTGTTCATGAATGGGAGATGTTGCATGCATTTGAACAATGGGGGGTTTGAAGGAAAATGTAGAACTGTCCACACTAGATGTTGACTTAGCTGGAGAGATATCAGATAAGTTTTGCAGATAATTGTTTTGAGCCTCCGAAAGTGATGACTCGGATGACTTGGATGGTGATATGTCTGATAGGTTAATTAAGTCTGAATTGGCATCAATTTGAGATAAATGGTCCAAAATATTGTCGGGAAGAACAAAGTCAGATTCTACTCCTGTAGAGTCATTTTTATTAGTTTGAAGACCAATGGATGTATTTTGAGAGTTATGATTTACACAACTAGAAAACACTGCACTAGCTCTTGCTAGTAATGTTTTTTTATTCAAGGAGCCTTTGGGTCGCCCTGGTCCTCTCTTTACAACATGTGAGGTAACTACTTTGGGTGGCCTTCCAGGACCCCTTTTTAACTTTCCTGGTGGCCGACCAGGCCCCCTTCCACTTGCTGAGATCTTTCCTCTCCCTCGACCTGGAGGACGCCCAACACTTCGCTTTTTAATTGGTTTATCTCCCTCACGAAACTCATATACATCAAATGCTTTCTGAATAACTTTATCATTAACTTGTTTACGACGTATGTATTTCCTTTTCTTTGACTTAAGTGGTTCACCTTCTGTCAGAACCTTGTCAGGACATTCTGCTAGTCTCTCTTGCAATGAAGGACCAGGTATTAATGGCACTGAAAATGGTTTGTCGTCTTTAGTATTTGTGTCATCAATCTGAACTGGCATTTTACCCGTAGTCAACAATGTACTACTCTTGTGGCGTCGCAAAAATTCAGCTCTTTTTGGTACACGGCCAATGCTTTTCTTTTTTGGTGAAGGCGAATGCGATGATGAAGTATCACTACTACTGCAACAACCCAGAATATTATCACCCAAGTTTGTATTCACAACTAAACTATCACAGTGTGAAGGGCCTATTTCAAGCTCTTTATCATGCTTATTGTATGATTTCTGTGAATCAACCACAGGTTCATCATTCACAGTATCACCCATTTCATATGCAGTTGTCAAGCCACAAGAAGTTGTTTCAGCAGAATTATTTCTTTCACTTGTTTGAACATAACAAGGATCACAAGTATATCCAACTACATTGACTTTTGAACTAACACATGCAATATCAGACAAGGTTCCAGATCCTGGAGATTCGTTTCCAACTGGTGAATCTGCTAGAGATATTCCACTGTCTGGTGACACATTAGACTGCATGTTGTCCAACCTAGCAAAACTTTCTTGCTGATCATGAACACTTCCTGGACGTGTGCGATCCGACATAGCATCAGATTCATCCCCACTCCTTGTGTTCCTGAAAATGAACTCATTTCCGGCCACATCTGCAGCCAGTCTTGATGCATTTATTTCACATGGACTTTCACTTTCCTTTTCTATATCACTATTTTGAATACATTGCTTTGATTTACTAGTCTTTGGTGGTTTTCTTTTCTTTTGTAATCTATTTTCCCCTTCTGATGATATGTTGCTTAGAGCATTGTTCATTTTCTCAAATATATTGTCATGTGAATCTTGACCAGCAGATTCAGAAATGCACATTTCATTCATTTCTTGTTCACTTTGAGAAATGTCATCTTCTTTTTCTTTACAAAAAAGACCAATTTTCCTCTTTTTTGATGCCAAAGATTTAGTTTTCTCACGAATTTTGTCAAGGTTTCCAACGGTATGAACTGTATCTGACTTTGAAGCACACTTTTTGTAATGCCTTTTCATTGGAGAGCTATCTTTATCCAACAGGACATAGCAATTACTGGACAATTTTTCTTTATTTCCTTGCATATGTTTATTCTTTGTTGTTCTGCCTTCCTCTGACAACTGAATACCTTCATTTGAGTTTGAATACTGTAAAAATTGGTGGAATGTATTCTGAAATCCCTCTGATGACTTTTCCAAAGTGTCCTCATGATTTCTACTGGATCCTGAAGCATCAAACCTGGATTCTTTTGTGTCTTGGTGGCAATCAGCAGTATTCAGGTCCATCTTTGATAAGGATTTTCTCACATACTGCTCTGGGTTGGTTCTACATGATTGCTAAAAATGAAAAAATAAAAATCTGTATTAATCAATCTCTATCTCATAGACTTATAAAATACAAATCTTATCTTTATTTTATAAAATCATAAGCTTACATTTTTCTGGCAAGTTTCATGTATAGTTATAATATTAATTGAAGTGATGTGATCATGTAAACTTTGTACATACAAATACATGTATAATCAATCAGAAATATCAAATGAACAGGTTTAACAGTTGTAAATGTTTACCCCTGTGTCAACAAAAACACTGTCCACTTCATTCAGTCTGGAGCCCAGTTCTTCATCATAACCTAGGGATGATGAGGATGAGCTTTTTTGTTTAGCTGAGATGGTAAGCTTTAGTTGGCCTTGATTAAAATTAGTCCCTTGAACAGAGAATTCTTTTTCTGATGAGCTTGTGTTCTCACTGTCAGATGAAGAATCAGCTGTGCTTGAGCGAGGCGATTCACTGTTATATACATTGGAAATCACTCCGGACACCTCACGGTTCATTCTCAATCACGATCCATACCATGGACCTAAACTTTAAATCTCTCAAATCTATCTGAAACTGAAGAGCATAAATTTGCACAATGTAATGTTACACAATTATGAAAAAGGTAAACATGATGAAACACATCTTTAATTACATTCAAGTATGATATGCTCATCAACCTGATTGATTTCAACTCATTCAACACAATCTCCATGTTCAAAAGGTCTTATATGTATTGCTACACATGACCACGACTGTCATAAACAACAGGCACAAAATTATTCTTACCCGCCAAAAGTGCACCTGTTCAAATTTATCCGAATCTTCATTACTACAACTCAATCAAATACAGATGATATGACCATATCACACACTACTTACCTGTTATGTTCTATAATTAATCTAATTAGCAAGATTGATTACTCATACGATAATCAAAACATCCTCAATTCTACGCCATACCTATCGCTGATCAAATATGGCGTCTGTGGTTAACCGTAAGGGATTTCGAAAGCAAGCCTTCACTGTATCATATAACTGATTGCAAATAGAAAGAGTGCAAAGTTTTCAATTCATTAAAAATTATTAACGTTTACCACCAGTTTCAAATATTATATCTTTCAATGCAAAGTCAAATGCAAAAAAGAAAGGGGAAAAAAACAAAGATCTCAACCTAAGGTCAAGGTCATTTTCGAAATCGGTATTTCTACCTTTCGAGTGGAGGGTAAATTAGTACATTAAAAACAAGTATGGAAACTAATTTAGTTATCTCTTGAAAAAAAATTCAAATTTAATACTTATATAAAAAAATAAAATCTCTTTATTATTTTTATTCAATTAATTATTTATGAAAAAATTTATTTCAATATGGCTGCCTCCATGGGGTGAGGTTGGAAGTTTCTCCTTAATAAATTGCATAGATTCATTAAAAAAATAATAATAAATAATATAACAACAGAACAAAGCCATGACAACTGTATGTAGATTGACATTAAGCCAATTCAAAGGTAATTTTGATTTGAAACCGTTGTTTGCACTTTATTATCGCATGTATTGTTTTGTTGTAGTTCGAATTTCCTCTCGTCTTCATTAAACAATTTCACAAAGTAATGTTCGTAACAATGTTCATGCTGCACATTAAAATCATGTTATAATACAAATTAATTTTTTCTGTTGTTGCTACTTTTCTTAAAATACAATTTAATGCTACTTAAATTTCTTTCGTTAACTTGTGTAATAGGAGTAAACCTTAGACATGTTAGAACACCATTTTCATTAGTGGTTCTAGAATATTTTTGAACACTATCTTATATTTTCATGTTTATTATTTCCCAGGTTCTTATTTTGATTTGAGATTCTGTTTGGTCTTATTTTCGAGCTTATTTGTACCTTATTTCAACACCTCATGTCAATATGTAATTAAAGCACCAGCTTCAACAAACAACAAAATTTATTAACCTTTGTATAGACAACCAAAAAAAAAAGTATTAAAAAAAATGACAATGGTAAATTCCTGCCTTGTAGAAAAATCCTAACACCTGTACAAAAATCACCCCCAACCTAGCATACAGAAACGCTAACCCAATCTAGCCGGGGTGAAAGGCCTCGGGTAATTTAGAAGAACCCCTTATTTATTTAGGAATATCTTAAAACCTAACTCCTAACTTAGATTTATGGCCTAATAAATTTAACAGGAGCAATAGACGACAATTAGTCCAAATGCCTAATATCTTAACATAATTTCTAGGGTTGCAACCTGTTAAATACCTAATAAACCTTTATCACCCCGTAAAGGGGCACGTGTGGGGTTTCGGTTATGTATCATAAGGGGTTTTAACTCCAAAGTGGTGGTTTTTTGCATGAGGCAGATATATTTGTCAAAAAAATCTTTGCTAATGAATTCGTAGGGGCCAAATAGTCTTTTTGAAAGCATTACGGATTGTACTAACATTACTGGACAGTTCAGTCTACTGGGAAAAGTTGTGGTTTCGCTGACATTCTTTGCTCTTTAACTTACAAAAATGAAGGTTTAAAGCTCATTTTAAGGCTGATAGGTAAAGACTGATACAAAAACAATCCATGCAAACTTTTTTTTCTCTTTTAACAATCTTAATTTCTGTGAGAAATATGAACTTTTGTGGCCAAATTCTACTGCGCCTAATGGGGTTTGGCACCAAATGGGGTTTTAACTCTAGGGGTTTTTCTATGTTTTAGTCCTTGTTTTCTTTCAAGAATATGAATTCCTGGTCCATTCATTGTGAAGAAAATGTGAATGATCATATGGAAGGCCAAAGATTTGTTTGTCACCTGTGTGCAGATATATACAGATATGAGACACAATGTAAATCTTGAGTGAGCATTAATATCTGTATATTTACACTTAGTGTAATTTTCTTTATGAAATCCATTGGAAATCTATAACATTCAATACCCTATAAAACACACAAAACCTTGTCACTGCATGTTAGAATAGATAGTAGGAATTATATGCATTTTCAATTGTCTTGGAACACCAAAATGTGTATTGTTTTGACTCAATTTAATTAAAAATAGTTGCCCTGTTAAATTATCGTAAAAATATAACAATTGTACGTTGAAAATTAATTCATCATTTTTCCCCTTGGCAATGTTCATTTCGTTATCCAACATTCCAGTTTTAAAAGGCGCTAAATTCATAATAAAGAAAATTAATAATTATGAAGAGAGAAAATTAGAGAATTTAAAGTAATATAGGAATTGAATTCTTATTTTTGGATGTCATCTGTCTTAAAACATCAATTGTCCATGCGGACAAATTATCATACCGTGATAACGTGCTGTATTCAAATTGTTGGCACAGCCAGCCAAGCTCATACAACCCGTACGCATGTCATTTGGCCCCTAAGAATTCATTAGCAAAGAATTTTTACAAATATATCTGCCTCATACAAAAAAACCACCGCTTCGGAATTGAAACCCCTTATGATACATAACCGAAACCCCACATGTGCCCCTTTACAGGGTGTTTATTAAAGTGAGAGAACTTTCAGCAAATTAATGCTTTCCAAGTTTCCCCATGTGACTAACAGTTACACGGGTTTATATACTCTTTGGAAACAATAGAAACTTTAACTTAAAATCTAGTGAATACACCTAAAGGGTATGAACTTTGACTGAAATTAGTAACATCCAAAAGGTTAACTATCATATTGCTAGCCATTGAGAATTTAGATAATCAAATGTAAACATTACCTGTAAGATTTGATGGAAGTAACACTTGCTATTATCTGAAAAGGTTTGTAACTATAAACAATTGATATACGCCATTTTCATAGTATTTGTGCTAATTGTGTTGCACTTGGACTAAAGAATAAAAAGTCAAACAGCACATTATTGACATGTTTTCTAGAAAGTACAATACCTATGCAAATGAGTCCCAAATTTTTTTTATATAAGCATTCTTACAAAAAAAGTTATGCAAAGTCAAATTTTGGGTGAGACCTTGTGTTGCGGACACTACATTACACCTGTTGTGTCTAAAATAAAATATTAAAGATATTTATTTATTCCAAACTTCTTGCGGGTGTCGATTATGTACCTAATTGCAGTGAAATAAAAGAAAAATCTCATGGTTCTCTTTGAAAACAAAAATTTTATTCACATTAATGACTTGCTAATTTTTTGGCCTAATTTATCTCCCTTCCTTAAGATTATCTACCTTTACAATCACACATAAGACCTATATAATTATCATGTGAAAATTAAATTGAATACTTCTATATTTCAAATACATTTGTCATAACACCCTGGATATCTTCGTTTGTATCTTTTCTACCTTTGAAAATGCATAGCATTTTTATTGCGGACACTACAAGTAACCATAAGAATAATCTTTTGTCATTTTTATAAAAATAATTGTTGATAAATGTTCATTTCTAGGCTGAATTATATACCACAGGATCAACTCTTGAAAATGTACCATATAAAAAGATGCAGAATGTGGTTTATTGAGATGAAAATAACCACATAACAAGGAGCATTAATTATTTCTTGATGTATAATTGTTTTGCAGTTTTAAAAAAATGTCTATGATTTTACTTATTTATATACAATTAAAGAAGTTATAACAAATAGTTTTATAGATAAATTCAATGAATTAAAGAATTTACTGAGGCATCCATAATTTTTTTTCAGTATTGAAATTGTTGCGGACACTACAATATATTGAAATATTGCTATATGACACCATATTTGGTTTTAATGGAGTAAACTGAAAATGTTAATCTCTAACTAGTTCTATATGTACAGTAAATGGTGTTTTATTATAGGGAAATAAAGAAGGCTAGTCAAAAATGGCTATCCGGCCTGGAAATTAAAACCCACATATATACCAGTAAGTTTGAAGTGTTATCTTGTACAAAAATCACCATTTGTTATCTTAATCCAGTTAACTAATTGTATTATCAAAGGAGCAAAATATCAGAGAAGTGTTTTACATTTCAAAAATATTTAATGAAATAAAAAGTGAAAATAATAAATGAATGTGGTATATAGTTATTACTGTAGTGTCCGCAACACAACTGTATTAATTAGAACTAGACTTATTAATTAACAATTAACATCTTGATATATTCTTTAGTTTCCACTTATTCAGTTTTAAATACCACATGAAAATTAACTTTCAATATATAACATAAGACTGACAATTGATTTTGAATATTATGTATAAACAAGTCGTTATGGGTGTTATTCAAAGTATGAAGTTATAGTTCCACTAAGTTTTGTAACCTTACATATTTGTATTGAATATTTGGACAATTATAGTGATGATCAATTGAAATCATGGTACATTTCTTTGAAGAAACTGTGAATTTAAAACGCTGTTGCGGACTCAACAGCGTTGCGGACTCTACAAAACACAATATATTTGCCAGAATTCCAAGCAACACTGAGCTAAAGTCTGATATTTTTTGGTAGATAGATTAGTAGCTGTACTGGCCTCTTACATGTAAAATAAAAGAAATATAATTCATAATGCATTCCAGAATAAGCACATGTTGGGGACACTACAGAATTTTGGGACATTTTTATGCCAGTAAGAAGAAAATGTGTCATTTTCTAAAGTTTCGAAGAATTCACTCAAACTTTTCTTTATTGTTTCATTTATCATTTAACTCTAATTTTAAAATGAACCTAAAGTAAGAGTAATGCATTAACATATATTATTTTTAAACTGCAAGTTCAAACAGTAGAATTTTATTAAATTTCATAACGTATCTGCATTTTCACATATTTAAACATTATTTCGCTAATATTTTGTTGATTTACATAAAGTAAATTGCATATAAAAGAGGGATAATTTCACAATGATTTGACATCTATAACTAAGAGTTTCTATTGTAAATCTCCTGAAACAAAAACTGGAAAACAAAGCCATTTTTCAGCTGCAACAGCATAACGCAAAATATACCCCATATTTTAGGTAGTAAATCTTTAATATTTTTATTGTCTAGAACATGGGAGTGTTATATATCATTTAACTTGTTAGGGGTACCATTTTGTCATAATTTGGTCATAATTGTTGAGGGTTTAATCATATATTTTGATGCAGACTGCATTATAACATAAGTGAGTATGAAAAAACACAAATACTGTGAAAATGGCGATAGGGAATAAGGCAGTATACAAATATATGCATGGAAACATTAATAAAGACATATAGTATTTAAAATTCAAGACATAAATGTATATAACAAAATTCATTCCTGCTACAACTTGTTTAAGAAAGAGAGAGAGAGAAAAATAAAACGGAAAACATGTATTTAATACATTTATTTAGCATATGGTAGAGGGTTCTGGTGATGAAATTACAGTAAAACTCAGTTATAGCGAAGTTCTGGGGACCTGCGAATTTACTTTGCTATATACGTAATTCGTTATATCCATATAACGAACTCCTTAATGTATACATAGTGAATTCACAATATGGATTGTTTCATTCAAGTATGACTTCCAAATGTATTTAGGG